ACTTTGTACATCATTCGAAGCAATTATAATTTTGCAATGTAATCATTATCGAGGAAAATACGTAATACTTCTCGTGTATTTTAGGTTTTCATCAAAGACCTATATTCTTCTGAAGTAATCGATATTCTACTAAAAGAATATGATAAAAAGATCAATACTTCTTTACTTTGTACATCTTCTTTCGTCTTTTATTAATAATGTTCTACATTTCTTCAATTTCAAATGGTATCTACATCGAGGAATATATATATGTCATATCTTTACCATGCAATGTTATTAATAAAGTGGAATAAGGGGGTTTGGTTTCTTTTTCTTTTATAGATGATGCTCGTATGAACAAAAGTATCGTTCGTATTTGTTCTACGATACTGATATATTTATTATCTATGAAGAAGCACTAATTGAGTGATTCGATAATTGTAATATCAAAGTTAGCGAAATCTTCAATGGTTATTTTTATGTTGTGCACAATTAGTAATTTTAGTGCGAGTAGACCTCGATTTAAATATCATACTTAAATCATAATTTTTTAAAGGATAATAAGAGTCTCATCCACGAATAAGTTCATTAATAAATGAAATAAATTACAGTATTATTAATCTTTCGATGGAATTGGTGAAATTATTAGAAAACTAACATTTTCGAATAATTTATTTCAGGGTGCGCCGGTATTGTGGTGGGATATCCTTTGGACACCATCAAAGTCCACATGCAAACGCAAGACTACCGCAACCCGATCTACAAAAGCAACTGGCACTGCTTTCGGACGCTACTCGCGAAAGAATCGGTATTTGATACATAAAATTCAAGAAACTAACGATTAAACAGTAGTATCGATAAAAGATACATATTCTTTGATAACTCGAAGTGATACAAACGTCCTTGGTTGCTATTAACGACATTTAAGACTCAATTATTATTAACATAATCGAGCACGCGAAAAGAGGAAAGATGGTAGATAAAGAAATTTACAAAATTTAAAAATACTTGTTTCGAAAATGTGATTAACACGTCGAGGACTTTTTGGAAATATCGATTCATGTTGCTTCTGTTGCTATTTCCAAAAACAATCTATTACCTCGTACTATAGCTAAATTTCATACAACTCTTAATTATACATAATTAGCAAAGAGATTAACCAAAGTCATTACCAATGACCAAGTAACAATGCAAAAAGGGAAACAGAGAAAGCAATCACTCACACAACTTCTGTATCTCGACTTCTGCACATAAACACTGAAACTTCGGTTACTACATTTAATTAATAATTAATACTAGGTAACAGGTCTTTACCGGGGTATGTCATCCCCAGTAGCTGGCGTGGCAGTGGTGAACGCAATAATCTTTGGCGTATATGGCCAAACGCAGAAGTACATCCCCGACCCAGCCACCCTGACCTCCTACTTCCTCGCTGGAGCCTTAGCTGGGATCGCTCAAACGCCCATCTGCAGCCCCATGGAACTGGCCAAAACTCGTATGCAGCTACGAACATCCCCGGTTCAGTTCACGGGACCTTTCCAGTGTCTCAAATACACTTACACCCACGAAGGTCTTCGCGGACTGTTCAGAGGTGTAGACGTGACGTTCCTCAGAGAGGTCCCAAGCTTCGGTATCTACTTTCTCACATACGAGGCGCTGACCAGGACAGCCGACAACAGTCCAGTCTCGACACCTTCTATGCTCTTAGCCGGTGGATTAGCAGGCACTACGTCCTGGGCAGTCTCCTATCCTCTGGACGTAATCAAGTCTCGAATTCAAGCTGATGGCAATCGCTATGCGGGTATAGTCGACTGTCTGAGGCAGTCTATGAGAGCTGAAGGATACTCGTGGTTGTACAGAGGTCTCAGCTCGACGATTATTAGAGCTTTTCCGACCAATGCCGTGACGTTCACCGTGGTCACCTGGACCTTTCGGTTACTGGGTGGCGAAGAGGTGGCATCGTCGCAAGAGAGAGAAAAAACAAAGGTGTCGGAGTTTATGGGTAAGATCTCAGAGCCCCGCGAGCCATTCTTTGAAAAGTGGAACAATTTCTTGGCGAATGCGTCGACGAGCATGGTGGTCCATAGGTTGCCGTATTCCACGTTGTCGATGATGTCGTCGAACGAATTACAGCTCGAAGGGTCGGTTCAGAGTAAGGGTAGCGACAGGTGGACGAAAGATGGGACGAAAGGTGGTGAACAGTCGCGTGGGAATAGAAGTGGCAGAGAGGAAGGCGAGAGATCGAGAGGCTCGACGAGGGAGGATGTTGAAGAAGAGTGTGGTGAGAAAAAAGTGGAGCGAAACGTTGTTAAGCAGGCGGTAAAAGCAATTTCTATGGCCTTCGCGTGAAAAATTCCAAGTTTGTGGCAGTTTCAGGGGATGCAGTGGTTAAATGAGGAATCGAAACTGCAACGGACGTGGAAGCATGATACGGTGGTTGAAGGATTAGATAGTGAATTATCGTGCGATATAATTGGAAGTGATTCTTTTTATGGAGTGTTTAATACAAGAGGAACTTGTTATGGTGTTCAGGAAATGGTTGTTCTTTGAATTTACTGTTGTTGCTTGTAGACGTTGCAGAAATTATTTTACATGGGAACTACAGTGTTTGGATTTATATTGGATAAGCATCATTTCTTCTGTAAAATTATACATACATGTAAATGGATGAAAATTAAATACATTACGTTTGTATTTATTCTTAGATACTTTCCAGAAATTTATTTTTGCATTTCAAGGAAATCTTGTTCCAAAAAGAAGTATCTTAGAAATATTAATATCATTGTTAATATCAGAATTATCAAATCAATGAGAATGATGGATTTTACGTATTTTAATTCTGCATTCATTGAAAATCTCGATTTTCTTTTGTTACAAATTACAGGTAGATTTATTGAAAAATTGAGGGTTAATTGATAATTATATTTTAACCATTCGTTGAAAAATTATGTTTTAAATTTATGAAAGTTTCTCTATTTAAATACTATTGCAAAGTCGATTACGATCAAATCATATTTTAATAGATAGTGAAACTTCAAAATCGGTTTATAAAATAAATGAAGCGACTTATTTTGCTTCGAATTCTCTAATAAGGAACCTCAGATAAATATGTAAAATACATATGAATATAAAAACTGAGCACAAATAAAATACAAAGATATCAATTTCTGTAATTGGAACTAACTCCAATAAATCTCCACGTGTCAATATCTTTCGCGAATTTAAAAAACGATTCCAATGTTAACGATTAACTCTCAAATAAAACATAAAATATACCCTCCAATTAAAACTACGTGTCGATATCTTCCACCAATAAAATATGTATACAAGTACCAACTTTTATAATTAACCCTAATAAATTTCCGCATGTCGATAACTGTGACATACAACTTCTAAAAAAATCCTCAACACCATTTACCATCCACGAATCAGCGAATATCATTCTCAAAATTATTCCTGACTCTAATACCCAATTTCTAATGTCCTCGTAAATGTATCAGGCTATCTATTAAACGTCGACCGTGGAAGTAGGAGCAAATCCACAATTCCAACCTTCGTACTATGAAACTATCATGAATCTTGCCATTGAAGTGCTCATTTGTTAGAAGACAGTCCTAGACTGAACGGCGGACATGTAAGACCTATGTCACAGCCAGAGGCGACATTTACTCTCTTTTAAAATCACACAAAATAGTTTGTATCTGTCTGCCACCCATCTACTCCGCTCCACTCCGCATCGTTTTCCTACTTTTTAAATCTCCGTCGTACAATTTCCGGTCTTCAAGTCCGTCCGTCCACGTGTCAAAATCGCTCTTGACACATACGAAATTGCAACGCGTATAAGTATCAGTCACAGACCTTCACCACTTGGACTTCGTGGATCGTGCCCAATCGTCGTGAAATAGTACCCGCGTGATCTCATCCTCAAGAGTAAAAGTCGTATAAATCACGGCGTCGAATTGATCAAAAACATTGACAAGCCCGGGAAACTCTAACCTCTTGGATCATTTGAAAATTACCCTAGTCGCAAGTATTCTCTGTTCCACAGGTATGATAGCGTGATATTAATTAGTAATCGGTAGTCGGGGTATGTAAGAGATCAGTGATAATAAAAGGAATTATTTTGTAATTAAAGATATTAGAATTTGGGTGGGCTTCTAGTTGAAACGAGCAATAACGTGATTGGTAAACGGTGCTTTGATTCTGTCTTTCATCGTATTATAATTTCGAATCTTTTTTATGATTTATGTTAAATTATTTCTGTATTTCAGCCTTAAGAAATTACCGATTTCCTGAGTTAGGAAATTTCTTTGATTTTATTATCTATTCGTACAATTTTTAGTAACTATGGAAAAGAAATATTTGATTATTGTAAAAAGTTTCTATTGTACGTAGATCAATGTTATATTTTTAATGCTGGTGATCCGTTACAGTAAAATTTCTGCACACATTGAAATTTAATTTGAAGCACAGATCTGAAGGTCTATCTTCATTTACTTCAATTCTCGTATTTTTTTTTTCTTTTTTTACTTCAAATATTTGCTTATATATGAGTACCAAAGTATTCGTTCAGAATCTTGACTCTGAAGATTCGAAGAAAATAATTACACTAATTACTGTATACTCATCTTCCATAGCTTGATTAGATATGTACATATTTTTAAAAATCATTACATTACAATAGATTTGTGTATTTTACATTATCTCTAGTTATCTCGGTTAATCTAAAATTAACTGTTATCATCTATATATCATTCCCATTGAATGTTTTTATCAACGAAAGTTTCAGTTTTTATCATACTTAATCTCGTACAACGACTATATGAACAATTAATTTTATTCGTATTACAAATTTTATAAATTCCTATAGAAGCTAGAGATAGTTCATGAAATTAAAAAAGTTAGAAACAAAGAAATCGTGAAATAATTCGATATCGATAGAATCAGCTGGAATAAATGCATAAAATTACCAGCCACGCAACGAGAACGAAATGATGAACGATTAAAATGAAATATGTGGTTAGAAAATTTTCAAGCGTTACACGATCGACGGAACTGGACAACGTGTTTCTCCACCTTTGTCGTCACGGATCCCTGAACAGATTCGTGCCCGGATTTCGAGAAAATTTGATATGGATGTAGACTCGAACGACAGCAGCAGGGATATCGACATATGCGAAACGAACACACAGCGATTAATTGCCGAAAGCGGTGGCCGATGTATGAGTACTCAAGCGATGCAATCGCTGTATGACTTCCGACAGAACAACCTTCTCTGCGATGCTGTCTTGAGACTCGAAGATGGAGGCGTCTTTCCCATTCATCGCGCAATTTTGTCAGCCTGCAGCCCGTACTTTAGGTCTCTATTACACTTTACTCTTCCAACACAATCTCCTAATTTCTAAGCACGGAATCTTATTTCGAGTAATATTCATTTTAGCTTTGCTTAACCCTTTGCTTGCCCGTGATCAACCCCTTGTCTTAGAACTCGGGGTCAGACTCGTGCGAGAGTACGTAGTCTGGATTTAATATGGACGAAGATGAATTATGTCTTTGATTGCAACTTCTCGAATTTAGAAATTTGATCACTACGATTAAGCTCCGCGATTGTCGATCGTTTTTCAATCGAAATAATCCAAGTGTTCATCATTTACAGGACTTTATTCACTACCACGTTGCACTCGCGCGAGAAGACCGACGTCCTTTTTCCCGGTGTCAGCAGCAACATGATGAATCTCCTTTTGGAATACGCATACCTGCGATCGATCAACGTGAACAATGAAAACGTGTGTCAGCTATTGGTCACTGCCGATTACCTAAACATTCTGGGCGTGCTCGATTTCTGTTGCGAATATCTGAAGCAAAGTCTGGCAGCGGAGAATTGCATCAGCATCATGAGATTCGCCAGGGAATATTTTTGCAGAGGGCTGGAGAACAGCGCATATCGTTACGTCATGAGAAATTTCGTGCAGGTTATTAAGCATTCGTTACTTTCTCAACATTCTCGCACACCTCGCATTTTTCTCACATTTTTCTGCGAGCATGTAACGTCTGTTTTATCCTTTCCTCTTTCTTTCCGGTGAGATGGTTTCTGACTAGCATAAGTTGTGTGTGTGAGATAGACGTAAGTTCGACTTACATAAGATCTTTCCGGTTAATCGATTGATATATCAAATAGGAAAATATAGGAATATTCCTCGCATTGTAATTGCGTATGTACGAATTTATTTTGCAAATTTGCATTTTCAAAGGGTGTTTTCTTTTTCTTCAATTTTTGTTAGAATTCGAAAGAATACTTTTTAGTTCCCTTTAAGATACCGTGAAACTGTGTTACCTAGATTTTAATTGTTTTATTTTTATTTTATTCGACTAATTTTCGGTCCACGTGTAATTTAGTAACCAAAGATGTCGATATTACTATGTGCATACGTGTTATGTACTTGTTCCAACTAGCTACTCGACAATTAAGAAATTTACGAAAAAATTAGAACTATTAGAGAAATTATAAATTCCGTAAAATTTCATTTAGAGTTCATTTGCATGTTTGAACAATAATTTCGCTTCGTGAAGAACTCAGACCTTGCCTAAGTCACTTTAACGAACCTATTTTTTTGCACGTGTGTTTCTATTATACTTTTACGTGACAAGCTTTACTTATGACCTAAAGTCTTGAAAAAGGAATGCTAACGCGATATCTCAAATGTTTAATTATTTTAATTATTACTTCAATGATTAGTAATGATTAACAAAATTTTCTGTGTTTCGTCGATCCTCCACTTACCCCTTATTCTTTCTCAATTATCTTCTTTCAATCGCAAACGAACCAAGAAACAAATTACCTTTACAGCACATTCAACAGGATTAAAATCATAAAACAGGACTAAAATTATTAATTTGATGATTAATAATATGAATATTCAATTTTTCCCAATTGCAAATCGAACAAAGGACGTAACAAACAATCACAAGAGCCGAATTTGACGCAGGTAGCCCAAAGGAGCGAGGAGATCCTGGATCTGCCGATCGAAGAGCTGACCACACTGATCGGAGCTGACGAGCTGAACGTAAAAAGCGAGGACACGGTTTGGGAACTGGTACTGAAATGGATCGACTACGAGCCTCCATCACGAAAGGAGTACATCGTCGATCTGATGAAGAACATTCGTCTTGGTCTATTGGACACGCAGTTCTTTCTTGAGAACGTGAAGGATCATCCGTACGTCACTGGAAACGAAGCCTGCAGACCAATTATCATTGAAACGTTAAAATTCTTGTACGACCTGGAAATTATTACGCAAAAAGATGGAGAGGTACCGACGCCGAAAATAGCACGACCGAGAGTTCCCCATGAAATACTGTTCGCTATAGGTGGATGGAGTGGCAGAACTCCTACAAATTTCATAGAAACCTACGACACTAGGGCGGATCGATGGGTCAAGGTGAATACGGTGTATATCTGTATTTCGTGGAACAATATTTGTCTGGTTTCGAAGCAGTATTTTATATATTAACTCGGCGACACTTTATGCTTATTTTTATATCTTCCTTTTTAAATTGTTATTTGACACTTTTTGTTATATTGTAACAACCAATTTGCTGGTTTCATTTGGATGATATCCGTGTATCATATTACACAAACGGTGACAGAATACACGATAAGTAAATGACACTGCACATATGCAAACTTCAATCTCACTTTTCTAGAAAACCAGGTTCTAAATTTTTTCCTTATTTTCCTTTGTAGAATCACCCCCTGCTTGTACTACTCAACCCACCCTGTATATAAGGATTTTAGATAAAATAATCTCTGGCCATCGAATTCCTACCATTCAGAATTTATTAAAATTGAACTATGATCTAAGGACTACTAAGATGTGACACACGAACATATAAATATTTTTAGTTTCAGAATTATTCTTCGTCCTATAATATTCTTCATATCCTCGTTATTTTATCAAAAATCTATAACTCTTGTTTCTAACTAGAATAATGTAGTAACGAGTAATGAATAAATACGTAATTTGTGAAACACTAAATCATTATATACATATGTAATGTATCATCTATGATATCATATATTACAATTAGAAAGACAAAATTTTAATATGCGGTTTTAATTCGCTGGCCAGTGAAAGACACGCAAAGTGATCGTTTGTTTTCTAATCAGATATGACTATTGATTCATTTCTCTGTGTAAAATGATTGAAAATCGAAGGTGGAAGAAGTAGACCCCATCGGACCTCGCGCATATCACGGAACTGCGGTGGTCGGATTTAATATTTACGTGATCGGTGGATTCGACGGTGCTGATTATTTCAATAGCTGTCGTTGCTTCAACGCTGTCTCTAAGGTGTGGAGGGAAGTCGCTCCGATGAACTCTAGAAGGTTGAAAAGACACGATTTCTTGGAATTTAAAGTGCAGAACATACGATTAGGCAAAGTCTGTAGCCAGAAAAATTTTCTCCATTAAACTGTCGAAAATTTCAGGTGCTACGTTAGCGTTGCTGTACTCAACGATCTGATCTACGCAATGGGAGGATACGACGGATATTATCGGCAAAATACTGCGGAACGTTATAATTATAAAACGAACCAATGGTCCCTGATTGCACCTATGAATTGCCAAAGATCAGACGCAAGTGCAACTACTTTGAATGGTACGAATCAATCTGCCATACTTTTATTCTTTCACAAAGAATATTCTTCAATTTTTATCAATATAGGATCGTCCTTTGGAGAAGCAAACTAGAATCATATCAAATTCTTCATAGAACACGATAAACGTTATTGACAGAATTTTGGATTAATGGAATGGAATAGGAACTAGTAAACGTTCTAATAACTTTCGCAACTTCTACGACTTCTGAGTTAAAACTGCTGACTTCAAACTGACTTTCAATACTTCTGATCTTAAAACTGACGACGTTAAAGACTGGCTTCAAAACTGACTCGTCCGCGCCCTTGCACCCTTATTTAAACCTAAACACTCTCTCTTCTTTCATAGCCAGACTTTCTTCCTCAATCACGCAATTCCCATACTACTTCAAACACTCAGGATGCATTCGTAAATTTTCACTTTCACCCTGTCATAAACATCCCTTGCACTCTTTCGTCCTGTCTCAAACGCTCTTAACACTCTTTCAGGGCCACGCTCGTTGTAATCCTACATTGATATCATTTTTACTCGAATAAATTATTTTAATACTTATTATATATTGTACTAATTGTAGATTCTCTTTTATTACAGACAAAATTTACATCACGGGCGGATTCAACGGCCACGAATGCTTAAATTCAGCCGAGGTGTATGATCCAGAAACCAATCAGTGGACAATAATAGCTCCGATGAGATCGCGTAGAAGCGGAGTATCCTGTATAGCTTACCATAACCACGTATACGTTATTGGTAATTACTCGAATTTTTGTTTCGCTGAAAAAAGATAGAAAGGGAATTTTATTATAAACGGTGTGTTTTGTAATAAAATTTGATTTTCAGCTTAATTTCGATAAATTTACGCATTGCGGGTATTTATGTACTATATGTAGGAATTGTTTATAAGGCAGCAAAACGACGATGGTAGATAATAAAAAGTATGATTTATCGTGAACTAATTGAAGACTTATTCTAGACGCTATGACCTTTCACACTGACTATCTCCCAACAAACGCCATCCTCAGAACTCCTCTCAAAGAACTCCTCGAAGAACTGTCCGCTTCACGCCCATGCACCCTTATTTAAACCATACACTCAATCCTTTTTCATACTCATTTTTCCCAATCACGTTTTTCTCATGCACTCCTTATAACCTTGCCCTCAGCGGGTCACGTAGCCCAAATACTCAGATACATTTCTAGACTTCCATTCTTCACTTGCAACCAATACTTCCATAAACATCCCGTCCATACCAAACCAGATAATACCTCGAACGCTCCAGCCAAACCCAAGATGGCTGTTTATTATCTTCTATTTTCGGGGAAGAGCCCAAGCGCTCCCACGCGCTTTACAGTCATACCTAGTGTAATAGTAGTGTAAGAGTAGATAAGGATTGTCCCACCTTAACGAAGGTGATGACAACGGTGTACATAGATCGTGTTCGACTCCAGTGTTTGGTGTGGAAAAAACAAGTGATAGCGGCAAATCCTTTTGTAGGAATGTCTGTAGAATGATTGAGAGAGAAAGCGTGTGTATAGAATGAGATAGATCTGGCTTTGAATAGGGATGCAAGGACGCGAGGCACATAGATGGTGTGTAGTCGAGAATAGAGGATTGAGTGTAGAGTTGAGAAGAATCTAGTGTGATATGATAATTAAATAAACCTGTTTTATTATTAAAAAAAGAAATTCTTTTATCAATTTTTCGCGTAACACCTAGGACAAAAGGCACTGTCACAGACGACGACCTCATGCCCTAATCACGTCACGCTCACCATTCTTACATATATAAATGTATTTTATGACATTTTATTTTCTATTTATACGCGTTCTAGATATTTTTGACTGTATTATATTATATTTGTATATTGTACAGAAATGTTTATCATATAGGAGGTTTCAATGGAATATCAAGAATGTGCAGTGGTGAGAAATACAACCCAGCTACGTATGTTTGGAGCCCGATTCCGGATATGTACAATTCGCGCAGCAATTTCGCAATCGAAGTGATCGACGACATGATCTTTGCCATTGGTGGATTCAATGGTGTCACCACGATCTATCACGTGGAGTGTTATGATGAAAAAACGAACGAATGGTAAACACATTTTAAACGGTTGTCATTTTATTTCTCTTCTTCGTTTTAAATCTAGCGTAACGTTTTAAGTCATCGTACTTCGAATCATTTTCTTTTAATTCAAATACAATCCTGTTTGAGTATATATTATTTAATGATATTGATTTAAATACGTATTATTTATAAATAATATAAATATGACATAAATATTATATATCATTTACTATTTAAGTAATACAGATTTAAATGTATATTAGTTAAATGCAAAAGAATATTCTTCTTTTTAATCTCAATATGATTCCTCGTGACTCGTATAAATTATATATTATTTAAATCTAGCACTGTGTAATGTACACAAAGAAATAAGTTATCGCTTTTAGCGTTCGATGAAGGATATTCTAGACCTAGAATTCACGCATGAGTGGATACTTCACAACCGATTGCTACTTCTTCCGAAGTATTAGACGCTTTAAAAAGGGTTCATATCGCTATAGATTCTTTCTCGATAAAATCAGCAGCAGCAAATCGTTTGGAAATAGTAGAGATACTATATACATACATACTTCTTATCGTTGTCGCTGTTATTCAGCACACAAGTCGCTTTAAAACCTTCAAATGGAGAAATTCAACGACACTGTAGTTCAGATTCCTCTACTTAGCATGTACAGTTCTTCGAATTATTTTTCACCATCCATCCATTATTCTCCATAATTTTTACCATACAATCCTCCCAAAACGATTTGCATAGAAAAATTGGCTTCTCCAGTTTTCGTACTTTCATTAAACTCTCAACTTGAGCTATTATCCACGAACTATTTCATCATCCCAACAATTTTTTCTTCATTTACAAACACAAATTTTTCTCTGTGTATTAACCATTTGCATTCGAGAGGTGACCCTCAGTCACCATTTCGTAAAATTTAGAAGATCAATATTAATTAATATATCAAATTTGATGTAATGTGACAGTGTGCAGGGTACCGAAATCAAATAATTCTACAATTCTATTATTATACAATTCTTTATTTACTGCTCAAAAAAGTATCGTCAGTTTTTTAATAGAGAGTCTTTGATTTTCTACTCTTCTCTAGCCAAAAAATCGTCGAGTGCAAAGGGTTAAGCTTCTATATAATCCTCCGTGTTTTCCCAAAGCTACAAAATTTCCTTCAACCGAGATAAAAAGATCTTCGCGTAATCTGTATCTGCGATAACTTCTTCTAAGTACACACTCGTGTATTACATATCGAAGATCTGGCAAACACCTAAATCTACCATACGATTCGTCAATTCTCGCAGGTACGAAGCAACAGACATGAACGTGTACCGTTCCGCGCTATCGGCTTGCGTGATCATGGGTTTACCAAATGTAAATGACTACATCCATCAACATCGTGAACGTCTGATGGAAGAGAAACGGCAGAAGCTGTTAGCACTGGAGGTGCACCGGAGTCAACACCAGTCTCAGCAAGATCAGATGCAACAAAACAATGAGAACTCGAACAACGAAGTGCCAGAACCACCGCCGATGCCACCGAATACCAGCACCAGTAACGACAATCGACAAGATTGACGAGGAAAATATTTCTATAAATTTACACGAAGAATATGAGTCTTACGATCAGTCGGACGGACAATAGTTAAAGCAATAGAACAATGAATGTTCAAGCCGATTAATTAGCATACGGTTATGTTGGAAGGAAATGATAAAATGATAATGCAATCGGTGGCAGTCGTATCTCTTAAAAATACGTCGCGTTTTTAATTAATCAACGAATTTGACTTGCTCATTTGGCAAATGACAATATTTAGGAAACTCTATCTTTTTCTTCATTCCAAATGGAAAATTGAATTTTCGAGTTATCGTGTAATTCAAATCGGTCACTGAGCAAATGGTAATATTTGGAAGATTTAGAAGATATAGATAATATATTAATATTCATAACATTAATAATAATATTAATAATAGATGAATATTTGGAAGAGTCTATTCGCTTGCACCGAGCTTGAAAATTCTATTTCCAATTTATCAAGTAACGTAACTCAGTTCTTAAATGAGCGATAATATTTTATAATTGAGCGATAACGTATTTATTTTCTTTTCCAAATCGAAATTGAAAATTCTACGTTCAATTTATTGAACTCGACGAATGATAATATTAAAAATCAAATTCTCAAATTATTCGAGAATTCTGTTAAAAAGTACTTGAAAACGTGATTATGGATTATTCGTTTGCTCTATTGAAATTTCGTATCGTGGAACACAAAGTACATAGAAAATGATAATAATTTCATGGTCGACGTTGTAAGTAATTTTATTTTGAACTGAGAAATTCTTTTCTTTCGATATAACCGTGGTCTTGCCCCAAATTTCGAACGATAGGTAAATCGTAGCAGATAAGAAAATGTAACGACGATTAAGAGGTTCATGCTAAGTGAAATATCTCGTAAAACGTGGCAAAAGGGGAAGACTTTTAAAACGGATCTTCGTTGCACGAAAAGTGACGCCATATTTGTTGAACAGAATATTTTCGGATTCGTGTTCGCCTGAACATGTTGGACGGGAGATGTTTTACATTTATACAAAACGTGTTTCTATTGGCTGTTTTTGTGATACAATTTTGTACGAAGTTTACTAGACGATTTTATACATATACTTAAACGAATTTTGAGAAGCAATTGTAATAAAGGGAAGAACGAGGGAATAATTTTTGACATATACACGTTATCAATGCTGACGAAATATTAATAAAAACTAACTGAAATGAAACCTTATAACAAGCAATAAAAAAATTTTAACAAATTCGGAATTTTCAGTTTGTCTGTTAGGTGAAGTTTCATATTTCTCAAAAAGGCAAGCGTTTGAATAAAAGTAATTCTGTTCTTGCATTTATTAAAATATATTTTCTGCTTTAGTACATATTTTAGAAGATAATTTTTGTATTTTTCTTTGATAATTTAAACGTGTGCCTTTAGAATATATCAGATAAGATTTGTATGTAAACATTTCTTCGTATCAATTATTATAGGTGTCTTTGAATCGTGTTTGACAGAATTACTGACTACATATAACATTACAAGCTAATTCCTTTATAATCCGTATAATTCAAAATATTTATTTCAGTCACATTTCAGAAAATTATCATTTTTATATTAAGTAAATATATTCTTTTATAGACTTAAATATTTATCTCTTAATTTCTTTTTCTATTGCTTTTTATTGGTTTAAATGAAAAACAATTGCATGCTGCGTAATTTGTTCGTAATCTGTCTATAATAAAGTAATATATACTTACAAGGAGAGTGCAAGTACATCGGGTCACCGATTTCGTTCAAAATTTGCGGGTTTATAGATCTCGTCAGGCAGTTTAAGAAAATATA